CCACCCACTCCAGACTCTCCTCAGAGTCGCCGTGTCTCTTCCCTACGAACAAGCTCTTTCCCCACAAGTGCCTTTGGCTGCTACTCCAGAAGAGGTTGTGGATAAAAAGCAACGCCTGACCCCACTGATGTGTGCTGACCTGCTCAGACAGTCACAGCCCTCTTCACCCTCTGATGGCACGGACACAAGCCATGGGCAGTCATCATAAAAATGCTACCAAAGACTCCCATTTTTAACACCTTGAGTTTGCCTTGGCCTCTGGTTGTGTTGGATCCCAGCCTGTACCATTTCATGAGTTATGAGCTAACACCTCTCTTTACCACATAAGCACCAACACTGGAACCTGGGCTTGGAGTATTTTATGAGATGAGATCACCAGCCCAATCACCAAGCTGCTTAGGGTTGATTTGTGGATGCAGAGGTCAGGGATGAGGATGGAACAGGCTGCCCAGACAGGTTGTGGAGTCTCCTTCTCTGGAGACCTTCAAAACCTGACTGGACGTGTTCCTGTGCAACCTGCCCTAGGTGATCCTGCCTTGGCAGGGGGGGTGGACCGGATGATCTTCAGAGGGCCCTTTGATCTTCAGAGGTCCCTTCCAACCCCTGCCATTCTGTGATTCTGTGATTGGGACAGGTTTTAACCTGACCCCTACCTGGGTTGCCCACAGGTAATCAAGACATTGTCTCCATACCCTCTCCCAACCCTGCCATGTCCACAGCTGGCAGGGAGGAAGGGCTTCATCACCACTGACAAACATGCTTCCTTGCCTTTATAGTCTCCTTCCAGAGCACTGTGGAATGACATCATCACCAAAAGGAGCCACAGTGACCCAGATGGGTGGTTAGCTCTGCACAGGTACTACAAACCAGGAGTAGGAGGAAGTAAAATCATGAAGGATGAGAAACTCTTGTGCCTTGCAAGGTGAAGACTGACATGTGGGAGCTTCTCTGCCTGCTGCAGCCAGCTGGCTGGAGCTGCTGTGGCTCTGTGACCAGAGTGGATGTGCAGTGGTGACAGCAGCAGCAAGAAGGGGCCAAGGAGACGGGAACGAGGGCAGACAGAAGCCAAGGAGGCAGTAGGTCTGGTGGCTCTGAGAGATGGGGTATGAGGATGGTAGGGAAAGGCTGGAGCTGCAGA